CTTGGGTTAGGCCAGGGTGGGTGTAGAGGCCACCAGGACGTGGCTCTGGTGAGGTCAACCCCCAAACATGGCTCCTCACCACATATGGAGTTGGAGGGGAAGGGGCCATCAGGACATGGCTCTGGTGGGGTCAACCCCCAAACGTGACTCCTCACCAGGCGTGGAGTTGGAGGGGAAGGGGCCATCAGGACGTGGCTCTGGTGGGGTCAACCCCCAAATGTGGCTTCTTGATGGCTACCAGGACCTGGGGCTGGATGGAGAGGCCACCAGAACGTGGCTCCTCATTGGATGCAGGAGCTTGGGTTGGGCCGAAGAGGGTGGAGAGGCCACCAGGACAGGGCTCTGGTGAGGTCAACACTGAAATGTGGCTTCTTGATGGCTACCAGGAGCTGGATGGAGAGGCCACCAGGACGTGGCTCTGGTGGGGTCAATCCCCCAAACGTGGCTCCTCATTGGATGCAGAAGCTTGGGTTGGGCTGAGGGTGGTGGAGAAGACCCTCCTCTTCCTCCCCCCCCCTCCCCCCATTTCTCTGGGTCCCTCCAGCAAATGCCTCCCACATCTCCTCCTCTTCCTCCACCCCCGCTAAGGGGCCTCCCAGTTGCTCCCCAGTCCAACCCCAGTAGATCCGTGGGGAACCTCCCAAGACCCCATGGATGCCCCCAGACCGTGGTGGTCCCCACGTTACCCATTGTAGCCAGCAGTAGCCCCCTCCCCCCATTTCTCTGGCCCCCACATCTCCTCCTCTTCCTCCGCCCCCCCTAAGGGGCCTCCCAGTTGCTCCCCAGTCCAACCCCAGTAGATCCTCAGGGAACCTCCCAAGATCCCGTGGATGCCCCCAGACTGTGGTGGCCCCCATGTTGCCCGTTGTGGCCAGCACCTCCCACATCTCCTCCTCTTCCTCCACCCCTGCTAAGGGGCCTCCCAGTTGCTCCCCAGTCCAACCCCAGTAGATCCGTGGGGAACCTCCCAAGACCCCATGGATGCCCCCAGACTGTGGTGGTCCCCACGTTACCCATTGTAGCCAGCAGTAGCCCCCTCCCCCCATTTCTCTGGCTCCCACATCTCCTCCTCTTCCTTCACTCCCCCTAAGGGGCCTCCCAGTTGCTCCCCAGTCCAACCCCAGTAGATCCTCGGGGAACCTCCCAGGATCCCGGTGACACCTCGGGGCTGAGGAGCCGCTGTTGGAGCGGGTCCTTCCGGTTCTCTGGAAATCCCAGTTGAACCCTCCCCCCCCCACACCCCGTCACTGGGATGGACTGGGGCGGACTGGGACGGACTGGGGCAGACTGGGACGGACTGGGTTGGGTTGGGTTGGGTTGGGTTGGGTTGACTCAACCCCTCTGGGCTGGCCTGGACTTGCCCTGGGCCCCTCGTTACCCAATCAGCTCCCGGGCTCTTAATGAGCTCGGGTGTTAATTGAGCTCCGGGCAAATCGTCCCTAATTACTCAGCTCTTAATTA